TTCTTTTCTATTTTCCCTGCAATAATTACAATTCCAAATTGATTAGGAATATAAATTAAAGGAGGAGGAAGGCGCCACTTTTATGCATGCACAAAGCTCTCAATTTCATCGGTGACTACTCCTAGGTCCTGTTTATTAGGTTGAAAGATAAGTTTTTTTTTTGTCCTGAATTGTAAGCCATGTTATTAAATTTTTATAATATATTATTGTACCCTTCACTCATCATTGTGGAATTTTTTTTTCAGAAAGTGTATATTCTCTCTATTTTTTATTATAAAATCCAATTTTTGAAATTGATTTATCTATTTTTACAAAATTCTTTGTTAGTTTGTCTCAAAAATAAATACATTTTTATCCATTTTATTCTTAATTAATATCCTCTGTTTTATTATCTTTTCCCATGCATTTTTTCTCGCAAACACTTACCCACTTATAAACAAGGGCATAGTTGAGGGGAAAAAAGTATATTTTCTAAAAATTTATTACTTTTATTAATTTTAACAGTTTCTTTAAATTATAGCTACAGAAGTGAGCTATGAATAAAGTACCTTAAGGTGGATGAGGGACTTGGATTCTCTCCACTTCTTCTCCCATCCTCTTCCCCTCCACTACCCTCTTTTTCCCCTCACAACCATATGATCAAAATTTTAATGGTCTAAATTTAACATCTTATAAAAATATTATTAAAAATAAATAAATAAATTTAAACTGTTAAAATCATGTCTAAACAGTTAACAACTGTAATTAAAAAATTTTGAAAAAAAATTGCTCTGTAATAACAGTCTGTAGATATGAGCTGTTCAAATTAGATTTTAATAGTTTAAATTTATTTATCTATTTTTATAATTATATTTATTTCTATAAAATATTGTAAAATATTAAATTTGAACTATTGAAGTTTTGATCTAATAGTTGTGAAGGGCAAAACAAGGTAATAGAGGGGAAGAAGATGGGAGAAGAAGTGGAGTGAATCCAAACCCCGATGGATGAGTATTAATTAGTAATAAGAAAACCTAGAAGTGTGGGTGATATTCCCCCGCTACCTCAATTTGCGAATCAAAAGGAGAACACTGTCTCCTCGGATTCTCGCCACACGAACTCTGATTGGATGCTGTGCAAAGTAGTTCTATATTATTGTTACATCCTCCCCCTCCTGCTAATCTAACTGCTTATTTTTCATAAAAAATCATTAATATTTCATTTAGTTATTTATAAATTATAATATAAGGGTAATGTGTTCCTTTTCTGACGAGTGATAGTTAATAAACACCGGAGGAGGTACTGCGTACTGACTGGCACAAAAATGGCAGATGCATACTAAATTTCCTGCCATTTGAAATTAAATTGAATACACATTAGGTTGACCTCTTGTGCACTTTAGAAAAATAAGGAAATGATTGTATGCATTATTCAAGCTGAAAAATGGCATGAAATGCTATGAAAAAATGCTATAAATTTTATATTTTATATTAAAGAGACACTTTTTTATATATAATGCATTAGATGATTTTTTTTTTTTAACAAATGCGGAGAAAGATGGGGAAAAAATATGGAGCCTAGAAAAATTTGTGATGCTTTCACACATGCCTACAGACGACAATGATGATATGGCTCCCGGTGTATTTGAGATTTTTATATTAAGGTTAACGATGTTATTAACGATTCTTGATGGAAATAAGAAATCCCTTTTATGCCTCAGAAAAGCAAGCCGGCGGTGATTCTTCACATCATTGTCATTTTGCTCCATTGTTTAACATATCAATAATATAATGACGATGAGGAGCACGACAGCCACGCGGCTAGGAAAAGATGGGGCTTTGAAGAACGGGAGAGAGCTAACAACGGATATGCGGTATTTAATTTACGTTGGGCCGTCTAACAAGTCAATTAGAAACCAATTAATTAATTATAGCAGTGTATGATTGGAGTAAAGCTTTGAAATTATAGACACAAAACTCTCATCAAAAATTGAATTTCGGGATTTCAAAGTAATGAAATGACAGGAACAGCTAATTGAGGCGATGATGATTTCAGCTGGTGATGTGATTGGGAAAGCGACCTGGAGCCCTTTACAATGCTGTTCATTCCTTTGAATTGGGGTGTGGAGGGATGACCCCGCTTTAACCTTAACAACCCATCCTAAGGTTAAGTTAATTATTTCTTCTCATTGTTCCCATCCTAAATGTAAAAGCCGACCAATTTGGGGGTGGGGGTAGGGGGAGAGTGCCTTCAGATAGGGGGAGTCGTATGTTCAAGGCAGCAAGACTGTTGGCCAAAAAAAAAAACCAGGCTGGCACTTAAGTTGAAAATACAACTTGAATTTACTGCAAATTGCACTAGTTACCTTCTATTTTTAATATAAGAACTAATTTGATTTTTAATTTAATTTCAAATATAAAGTTTTAACTTATTTTATCTTTTATATTTATTTATTTTTAAAGTAATCTTTATAGTAACTGTATTTGTCAAATATTCTATCAAGTAGTAATTTTAGTTAATACACGTGTGGGTATTTTAAAAAAGATAATATATATTTATTATAAATAATTAACTTAATTAATTTTTTAATCTTTTTAAATTAGTCAATTGAGTCTAATATTATGAATCAAGGTACTATTGTAATCCATGATGGAAATTCCTGTGCGTGAAAAAACAATGTAGAGAATTCGAAAGAGACTGAGGACTTCACTGCTCTTCCCGTCCTTTATTAAGAAATCAGTTTAAAATATTAATTGAAAATAATAAATATGTAAGATATATACATATTTGCTCTAATCATATTTTTATTCACAAAGAGAGTGCATAAGAGATCATGAGTAAAAATTTAACATAACAAGCTGCATGTATCTATTGAGATAAAAGTAAAAAAATTAGTTTAAATCTTTGAAATAAAGATAATTTGTTTCAAACCATTATGAGAGAAGTTTCTTTTTCTATAAAAAGGCACAAAGAAATTAGCAAGAACACGTTATCATGAGGTGGAATTTGTATTTCCACGAAATATTTTTTAAAAAATCAGCCGATAGAATTCGTCAATTTTATAGGGATGAATGGGAGGAGCGTGCGAAGAAGTGAGAAAGAGGCGAGTGGAAGGGAATCGGCTGAGAAAAGGAAAAGCAAAGAGGGAAAAAGAAAAGCAAGAGAGGAAAGGGGCAGTGGCAGGAGCTAACAGCGCGGCTCTCGCGGGGGCTTATTTTCTTGAACAAGGTGTTTTTAACTCTGCACTAAAGTGGCCACCGTCTGTATCCCTGTCGACGTTTTCCCCCTCTTTCCTACAAAACAAAAATCATTCTATATATGTGCGTCATTCTCAAATTTTGTTCTTGCCCACAGTTTCCCTTAAATTAATATTTCCGATTTTAATTTTGAGATTTTATTTATAAATTATAAACAAAATGTTATAATTAAGATAAAAAATAATATTATATTATTCATCTCTCATAAACATAACATGCTGCATCAACCTCAAAACGGTGCATGTTCAATTTCAAATCTGGTAGACTGTATATAAAATCATTGCTTTTTTTTTTTTTATCGAGACGAATGAAATTCTATTACCATATATTGTTATACATCTGTTCTAATTAACAGAGCCCATATAGCTAGTATGACTTAAAACTCCGTGATTGTGTTTATTCTTTTAAAATTAGAGGGACTCCTTATATTTCTCATGAAAAAAAAAAACGCATTGGCATGTGAAAAATCGAGGAAATAAAATATCACAAGACATTCAATGAAAAGATTAATATTAAACAAAAACAACGGCACTTTTGTAAACAAGTTGTTATTGATTTTATATTATGTTGATATCAATAATAATTAGACTCAATATAATCTTTAGTTCTTAAAATTTGATCTAATTTTAATTTTAATCTCTGAAATTTGAAACCAATAATTTTAGTTCTTGAAACTTCTTTTTTTTTTCTGAAAACGAAAAATCCCTAGACAAACCAAAACAAAGTTACATTTCAAAAGCCAAAACCAAAATAAAATTAAATTTTAAAGAACAAAATTAAACTAAAGTTAAATTTGAGGAACAGATAATATTAACCTTTATAATTATTATTTTACAAGTTCTTGCCACCGATGTTCATAACATGCTTTTTAAAAAGATAACTGTTTTTTTTCTTTGAAGAAAGGATAAAGCTACTATTTGTGATTTGGCATTCAGCATATCATTGAATTTAATAAGTAACCATGAAACGCCAAAAACAGTATGCAGAGTAAAATGACAAGATTTGAGTTTAACACAACTTTTTTCTTTTTGTTACCTTCCGGCGCGTAAAAATAAGAGGTTTTTTTTTTTTCCTTTTGACCAAAACAGAAGTTAAATAAAGTATTAAATCAACATATTATTAACAAGCCAAGTCTTATTAGAGTCTCAAGCTTTACACAGAGTAACAGTTATAATTAAACAATAAACTGAAGTTGGACAAATAAAGACTACCTACTGATATTTTGAAATAAAAAGAATTTTAAAATAACATTTAAAAAATATTTAGATAAAGAGGTAGGGGACACAAAATTAAAGAAAGACCAATGAACAAGGGGCAGGTTGAGCCTACCTTCCATACAAATTAACCACCTTTCATTTTTTTTTTGATAGCCTTCGTAATTTTAATCAAACATTTTTCTCCTCTAAAGCGTGAGAAAGTCTTGTCAACGAACCCCTCCTGCTCAGCACGGAGGTTTTGCCATTAACCTCCGCTTCGCAGCCTTCGGTCTTTTGCCCCTCTCCTCTCGTATTCCTCACCTCCGAGCAAACCCGCCATTTATATCTGTGGGTGCAATCACCGAATTAAATCATCTCTTCAACTCGATACTTATTATCATTTTTTTCCCCAAAACCTTGTGTTTCGGTCTGGTATCTATCATCCATGGCACGTCATTCCCACTTAAATTAGCAGTCTTTGGATTTTAGGGTTTTATAAACTTCGAGTGTCGACCTTTTGCTGATCTATACTTCGTGACAAATGGTTATGAAGTAGGGTTTTTGTGCTGGCCTTCGTTTTCCCCTAATTTCTTGGAGCAGTTCAAGCTCTTGTATTTATCCGAGTGAGCTTATAGCTAGAGTCGGACATATAATTTAATGGAGGGATATAGTAACCAGGTGAGCGAAAGCACAGGTTCAAGGCCTAATTTCTCGTACTCCTTCGCTACAGTTGGAGGCTCAAGTGCGGGAAGCCATCATCAGTCGCCCAGAACTACCTTTCATCTCCAGTCAGGTGGATCTGAGTGTCATCAATCTGTGAAAACCGAAGCCAACACCTCCAATCACTCTCAGATTTTCCACCATCCTTTGATCAGACAAAGCCTCCAGACTCATGGAGGCAGCCAAACTTCTGACGAAGTTGAATCTCTCAAAGCTAAAATCATTGCTCATCCTCACTATTCTAACCTTCTGGAAGCTTACATGAACTGCCACAAGGTCAGAATAGTTACTTTCTGAGCTTTTTTTTTTTTTTACGCCCCCCTTCATGGGCTTATGTCCGTAGATAGATAGTTAATGACGCGACCGTAGGTAGGAGCTCCGCCGGAAGTGGTGGCACGTCTGACTGCGGCAAGGCAAGAGTTCGAGGCACGACAGCGATCTTCGGTCAGATCCAGGGAAACTTGCAAGGACCCAGAACTTGACCGATTTATGGTGGGTGTTTTCTTTCCTTTCCAAGGATTCTTTTGGTTTGCTTGGTAATTAAGTATTAAAAGAATAGAATTTGATAGACAAGGCTGTGTCGGTGCGATGATGACAGGAAGCTTATTATGACATGCTCGTGAAGTACGGGGAGGAATTAACAAGGCCAATTCAAGAGGCAATGGATTTCATACGCAACATCGAAGCTCAGCTCAATATACTTTCTAATGGACCTGTGCGCATCTTCCCTGGTATTCTTATCTTTCCACTTGTTTTACTTCCTCAATATTTTTTGGTCCCTGAATCAATTATTAATAATTTCCTATCATTCAAACCAAACAAATGCTGTACTAAACGATGGTCTGAATATGGTTTATACTCGTATCCGTATATTTTTAGCAATGAACTTTGACATTAACAACCCGAAACTTTGACCAATTTTTACGCATTCAATGCGGAGGAAATGGACCCAGAAAGAAAGCTGATTTTGATGAAGCGCAGAACCCTAACAACCAGGCTAAATATGTACCAGGTTTTAAGTTTCCGAGAATAGTCCAGTTAAATATTCACAAGATATTTTCTTTCCGGGCTAAAACCCTAATTTACACGTCCCGTTATTCTCTGTCCCCCTCTACCTTTCCCGAACTTCTGAATTCTGACAAAGTTATTCTTCTAGGGCTTCCTGGCTAGCTATCACAAACCTTAATAGTACGTTAATCGGTGCTTATATACCATAATGAATGTACTCTTCGACGATTTGTTGGGGGGTTTTATGAAGACATTCCTGTACACACCCCCCGTCATCATTGTAGTATCGACGCTCTCATGGCCTTGGGCCTCCCAACAAATCATAGTGATTATTAATTAAATTCAGAATATCTTACTCTAACGTGCAATGGGGTGGAAACAGTAGTAGTAACTAATAAAAATAGTGTGATTAATTTCGAGTACTGCATAATTAGCTTTTAGACATGAATATAAGTGGAATCTGTCGGAGACTGGAAAATCGGACCTTGAATTGAACTATGTCAAAATGATTTGACATGACAATAAAAAATAACTTTTCTTGCACTCATGGAATGCTGCTCCAGTATTTGTTTAATAAAAGATATGATCCAGTATAAATTTCCGTGTATTTGTTTATGCCCTCCAGATTCTTTATTCTGTATATGTATTTGATGTCGTTGGCTCGTAGCCAGGCTCCTTAACACATGAGCATACGGATCAAATGTTACCGTGAAGCCATCCTTGTTAATGCTGTTGCACGGATCAAGACAGCAACAATATATATTATTACTGTTGCTGCTAAGTGTCGCTTGCAGCTTCGGTTTAATTACACTCAATCAACGATATATGTAGATAAGATATACTCCTTCAGTTCTGAATATAAGACCTGTTTTATAATATAAATTACACTATAAAATGGGTCTTATATTTAAGACCGGAGGAGTATATTATAAATATGTAAGAATGAAAGTGGACATAAAAGAGCGCACGAGTGGCATTTGCAGCTGTAACCCTTTGAAGAGCTTAAGGAATGATCTATGCATTAACCTTAGGTTTGGTCAGTAACTACGACTCTATAATATGGTTTGCATAGGACCTGTTCAGAACAACTTATAAGTAGTTTTTTAATACTCCTCCGGTCCTTATTATAAGACCCAATTTGACTTTTTATTTGGTCCTAATTATAAGACCCAATCCATTTTATCTCTTATATTTATGCATTTTTTTCCAAGATAATCCTTCTAATAATGATAGTTTTAGCCAATATACTTAATTAGCAAGGATATTTTAGGAATGACAACACTTATTTATTATAAATAACCAACTTAACTTACTTCCTTAATCTCCTCAAATAAGTCAATTGGGTCTTATAATTAGGACCGGAGGAGTAGTAATTTACGGAATACGAGGAAAATATATGAGAAGAGTTTTGTCTCGATTTACATAAAACGTGTTTATAAGGAATTTTTTAAGACCTCCCAAACAGGTCCTATAATGTGGTCTTATTTGTCCTTTGATGTCCTTTATAATGTGGTCTTGTTTTTCGCTATTTACTATTCTCTCAACTAATTATTAAAAACGTTGTGAATGGCCAAATGTTGATCCAATGTGCAGAAGACAAGGGCGACGGTGTGGATTCATCTGAAGAGGATCAAGATAACAGCGGCGGAGAAGCAGAAATGGCCGGAATTGATCCTCGAGCTGAAGATCGCGAGCTTAAGAACCACTTGCTAAGAAAGTACAGTGGGTACTTGGGTAGCCTGAAGCAAGAACTTTCAAAGAAAAAGAAGAAAGGAAAGCTGCCTAAAGATGCCAGGCAAAAGCTTCTGAACTGGTGGGAATTACACTACAAATGGCCCTATCCTTCGGTATGTATATATTGTTGCGCATAAATTTCTCTATAGCTAGCACATACTTAGCGGTAACGAAACGCTTGGCTGATTTAATGAGATTGCATAGGCATTAATTACTTTGCTTTGCAACAACAATTAATAAATTGAGTAGGAATCAGAGAAAGTGGCACTGGCAGAATCAACGGGGTTGGATCAGAAGCAAATAAATAACTGGTTCATAAATCAAAGGAAGCGGCACTGGAAGCCATCAGAAGACATGCAATTTATGGTGATGGAAGGCATGCATCAACAGAATCCCGCTTTCTACATGGACGCCCACTACATGGCCGATGCTCGCTACCGTCTAGGACCATGATTATTGCCTGTGCCTTTCCATATAACATATTTATTGAAGCACAAGTCTTCGTTTAATTTGTTGTGCAGTGTGAGAATACATGATAGAGCAGTAATCTTGTAATATGATATATTTTCCAATGGTTGTCTGCTATTCTGAGTATCGGGTACAAACAATTTGTTCAGATGTTGTTGGACCCTGGTCTTGAGTGAAGGATTGCAGGAGATTATTGTCATTGCGTTACGTGTCTGACTAATGCAATCGCAGAACGAAGGTGAAATTCAATATTCAACGTTGCGAGGGACTAATCATAGTCAGACACAATTAAATGTTGGGGAACACAGGCAGAAGTATGCCGCGGGCTTAAGGATCATGAGATTGTTAAACTGGGTGGGCCAGGCCCAGTGTTAAATCATAATCTGCTATTTCCCCGGTCCGTGTATGCATGGCATAACGTGCCCGTCAAGTGTGGGTTAATAAAGTATGAGTTATTGTGGGATCTCTTGAACTGAAATGGCTGGGTGAGAGGAAAAATGTGGATGCAAGCAGTTGAAATTAGGTCGTTTGATTTTCCTCATGACTTGATTTTTATCTTTGACGTACTGTTTTGCGATCTGAAGACTTGGGATGATTGTATTGTGGATGGACACTCGAGCAGTGAATGTGTGATTCATCGATGATAAGATGCGGAGCTACACCCATCGTAGATTCTTCGATATTAGGTGGCCGTTGCGGGAAAGAGAATCCTAATGATCATATACATGCTGACATAGATTTTCCTAGCAGCGCGCTATTATATTTTCAATATATTTTTCAAAGTATAATAGGTAAGAGATTATTTTTTTATTTTATATTGTACATCTCTTAAAATAACTTTAAAAAAAAAAAAAAACTAAACCTGAATTGCCTAGATCAGATCTGAACAATTTAGATCTGATAAGTTTGAGGTGACCCGTGTTTGCATGTTGGTTTCATTGCCGCGTGTTTTGAGAAATTAGTAACGAAGCGCATTAAAGGACAACTAACCAATAGGCTTCGGATACGGCATGTGTGGGGATTGTGTTGTGCCATGTACAGTTGAAAGTCAACAAAAAGCGAGACTCTCCGTTCTGTGCCAGAAAAGAAGATAACAAATACCCACAAACGGCATGCACTTGACCGAAAGGGCTGACTTGTGCCAAAATATGCACATTTCACATGGAACTAGGGACGTGGCTAGTGAACAAAATTGAGCGGAAGGGCGCTCCTGATCATCTCCAAATTGAATAAATGAAAGAAGGAAACACATGTGGAAGAGTAGTCATAGGAAGTGTGTAAATGAGGGTGGCATCTATAGAAATAGAATCATGGCGAGTGGGGGATTCGTTCATTTGTGATTTTTTTTTTTTGGGGTTCTCCACCCGGTTCATCAGAGCTTTGCTCTGATTATGTCCGAATCCGACCCGCGTCACGCACCTGGGTATGGCGGGTGAGTCTCCCAGCAGGGGTTTTCTGCATCTATGAGAAATCAAACTCGAGACCTTACTTAAACGGAACCGAGCCGCTTACCACTCGGACCAACCCCTGTTGGTCATTTGTGAATGAATACACGCTAACTTATGTGTGTGACTGATAGAGATATTGTGGGCGGCTGGTTAGGCCCAAGGGGGAGGGTAAACAGACTTGACTCTGACGGTGTGAGGCGTAGAGGTGAAGCCGTTCGGGTGTGGATCACTTGGTTTGTCCAGAGGACGCAGGCCACGTGAGCGCATGGGACGTGAGGCCCACTGTATTTGGTGGACTCCTGTAGCCAATCGGATGGGCGCTGACGTGGATTTGGATGTGCGCCCCTTCTTTCCCTCTTCCCACGATTTTTTAAGCAGGAACGTGCCATGCCGCGTCTGAAAAGCTGGAGTTCCTATCCATGAAACCTCACCCACCTAACATTATACATATAAAACAAACAACTTTCTTCTTAATTACGTCCCAAACTTGCTCTTTCTACGCACTAGGCGTTATCCCCCTCCCTTCCACCTCGATCCCCTTTATAAAATCTCTCTCACTCCCTCCCATTTTCTCGCCATTCCCGCGTTCCCTCCGCCATGATTCACAGGAATCTCCGCTTCGCTCGATTGCTTCTTCCCTCTCATCCTTCTTCTTCCCCAGCTCTCTCCAAGGTCATCATTCTTCTGCTCTCTCTCCTTCTCTTATCTTTCAATTCTTTCTTTCCTTATACAATAATATTAATTTCTATGCGCAATCATTTCCTCTTCTCTGTTCTGTTCCTATTGCAGCATTTGTATTTTGTATTTATAGGCATCAACTCCGTCTCTCCCTCGTTCACTCATCCCCACAATATAGTACTCCATGGTCTCTTCAAGGGATCGAGTGGGCTAGCATAGGCTTGTGCACAAGCCTGGCCACAACTCCCACCAGTCATACGCATAAATACGATACAATGATTGTTGCTGCATCAGTTTTCTGCCCCTTTCAACGAGTACTAAATACCTAGTTCACCCACAAATAGAGAAAAGAAATCCATTATCAGCATGGTAGTACCTGCATAATCACAGGATAGATGAGTGATCCACACAAATAACTGAAATCGTAAATTACCCCTTTTTTGGGGTCAAAAATAATAAGATCCTCTAGAACGATCCTAGTTAACTTTGGCCACGAGTGCTCTTTGAACTGTCGACTCCTAATTGGTGTGTTGTGACTTTACCAGCGAGTATTTATCAAACTTTTTCTCTTTTACCTGAAATCATTATCGTGCACGAAAGCGGTTTGTCCGTCCTGCGTAGTTCAAAAAATTCAAGTGAAACAAACGAACATGCTTGTTGTTTTCAACTGTATTAGCGGGCCCTCTGGCTCATATGTTTGCCCACTAATGGTGCTAGACAGGACGCAACAGCCGTGGCTTTGTTTCTCAAGTCTCCTCCCTGCAGCAACCAGTGGCCGCACCATCATCACCTCACAGGTAACATCACTCCCCTTGTAACACCGCTAGCCCGTTGGTCCTCTCCACTTAAAATTTAAATAGCCAACGTAACCCACAACTGAATCACTTAACACTTGTTCTGCCTTCTTTTTAACTGCTCATGACTTATCATCTGTACAGTTTGTTGTTATTTAATATTCCATATATACGTGTGAAAATCAAATTAAAAAAAAAAACACATGCAGATCCAATAAAAGTGGGCGTCTATCATTTGGTCCACCTGTCCTCCTTTTTTAAATTATCTGTGTATGGAACTGGCAGGGAGGATGAGGACGCTGAAGTGGAATGGGATGGTCTAGGATTTGGACTGATGCCAACCGATTACATGTACGTGGCCAAGTGTAGTGGGGACCGCAACTTTGGACGAGGACAACTTAGTCTTTTCGGGAACTTTCAAGTGAGCCCCTCCGCCGGAGTTCTAAACTACGGCCAAGTGAGTAGATTCTGAAGGATAAATTTTGACAGATAACTTTTTACAAATCAATACAAAACCCCCGTATTTTCTCATACCCTATGCCTTTCTGAACAGGGACTATTTGAAGGTACGAAAGCATACAGAAAGGAAAATGGGCACCTACTTCTGTTTCGTCCCGAACAGAATGCCATACGCATGCGGATGGGGGCAGAAAGAATGTGCATGCCTGCACCTTCCGTGGATCAATTCGTGAATGCTCTCAAGCAAACTGCCTTGGCTAACAGGCGCTGGGTAAATACTCTCTCGCATTCTGTCATTGTATCTGATGTATTTGTTATAAGTTCAACCGTGGACTTACGTGGAAGGCGAAAGCAGGTTCCTCCACCGGCCAAGGGATCGCTGTACCTGAGGCCTCTGCTCATAGGGACGGGTCCCGTATTGGGTTTGGCCCCGGCGCCCGAGTATACATTCCTCATATATGCTTCTCCTGTGGGAAACTATTTCAAAGTCAGTTATTTGTTCTTTTTTTTTTTTTGGTTTATATGGAAGAAAACAATATCTAAAGCCCATGTCAACAAAAATAAAACACGTCTAAGTTGCCGCAGGAGGGTACGGCACCGCTTAACTTGTACGTGGAGGAGGACTTTGATCGTGCTTCTCGTCGCGGGACTGGAAGCGTCAAAACCATTTCAAATTATGCTCCCGTAATTACAATCTCTCAAAATTTGTTTTTTACCTTTTAGTCGTAAGACCCATGAAACTTGGCTCAGACGGTGTGCCCTTTGGGAAGTCCATTGACAGAAATAGATCATTGAGAGACATTATTTGATAAGGTTGATGTTCTATGTAGATGATCGAGTTATTGAAGCATAAAAGTGTTGTTTGTGTTGAACTGTAGGTTCTGATGGCACAAACGAGAGCAAAAAACAGAGGATTCTCGGATGTGCTGTACCTGGACTCGCAGACCAAGAAAAATCTAGAGGAGGTGTCGTCTTGTAACATTTTTATTGCAAAGGTATTTGCCTCTGAATTCTAGATATGCCTGCACCACTGCACATTTTTTATCCTACGAGCATTGTCGCAAGTAGCCCGTCTTATTTGGTTTTTCGAATTCGCAAAGGGCAAAAACATCTCAACACCAGCCACCAACGGAACCATTCTTGCGGGAATCACCAGAAAAAGTGTCATTGAAATTGCTCGTGATCTTGGCTATCAGGTTCCACTTCTTTTACGCTCATATTTGACAAGAAACTTGGTCTTCATTCCGCATTTCTTCTGGTTTCTTGTGTTTGATTGTAAGCAGAGTCTTCAATAAACTTTTGTGATGGAATTATAATGATGAATCCTGGCAATGTGATGATCAGGTGGAGGAGCGTGTCGTGGGAGTGGATGAATTAGCGGAGGCTGATGAAGTTTTCTGCACTGGTACTGCTGTTGGCGTTGCCCCTGTAGGAAACATCACTTACAGAGATACAAGGTAAAGCAGTGCCTCTCACTCATAATGGCCAACATAAAATCAACTAATCCCTGGGAAATTGCAAGCATGAGATGGTTCCTATTTTCTTCATTACATGAGCTGGACAAGATATCTCCATAATTCATGTTGCCCCACCATGCATATGACCACAGCCCAGTATAAAAATTAATCTTACTACCAAAATTTTTTGGGGGGGGGGGAACAAAACAGAAAACTAAAAGACTGAAATGTGGAGTTGTGTGTACAGGATGGAATACAGGACAGGGAGTGGAACGATCTGTCAAGAGCTGAGCTCCACACTCACGGGTATTCAGACTGGTAGGATTGAAGATGGCAAAGGGTGGATCCATGAGATTTACTAAATTCTTGCTATTTTGCTTGTAAACAAGTGTCGTAAAAAATGTGTAAATCAATATCCTGTGCCATGCCACGATAAATAAAATAGTTCCGTCATGACGTCTGATTATTACCAAGGATAGTAGAAATTTGAAAGAAAAATAATATAAAGAGGTGACTCTGTACATATTTGTTGGATTGGGCCAATAGAACGAAGATAAAGACGTACGACTGATGAGGAAACTTTGATGGCCGCTTGCTGTTAATTTAAACGAGACTTATCAAGATCATGGAAGAATCAATTATTGAAATCAATTATTAATGTGTGAGCCTGGGAGAGCTTTGCACGTGTAAAATTTGAATTAGCTGTGTGAGGAATATTGCCAGTACTGCCGAAATCGGTTGGTTGGAGGAAAAGAGAATCATTAATGATGACGACGGGGATATATTTGGCGTGTGAGCACTAATCGAGTTGATAAAGTAAAATTATATTCTGGGGCGGTGCATCATATTGCAAGATGGTATCACCCCAACAAGAAACAGTGCACCGCAATATGGAAGTATCTCGTGGATAATTACAATCGCAGTCCAGCCCAGACCCTTTTAGGATAATTTAGATCCAGGCCTAACAAATATATTAGTGATTTATAACTCGTAATCAGGTTTCTTTGCTACGATAACGATAAGCTGTAGTATTTTCCAAGTTGTGTCCTCTCACAAAAATAAAATTAAATAATCCTAGTTGTGTCCTGGTGAGGTTATTTGCTCATTTTTCTTTCTTTAGCCATGGTGATGAAACCTTGAAAATCATGTAGTGCACTAAATTGTGGATAATGACTCTGCTAGACGACACCATGGGGGTGAAGGATGAAGGAGGAGTTTGGATCACATACTAGGACAATGCCAAGCGCCTGTTTGCAACGCCCTTAGAAAGACGAAACGCGTCTTGGAATTGATAAAAACGAAGTTTGTAGGTAAGTGGGAGTTTTTGGGTTGTTTGAATTATTCTGCGTCGGTTTTGTTTTAGACATTCTCCCGTAGACTTTTCATTAGAAAAAAAAGGGAAGCACGGCCAGTTTTTTTTTTAAAAAAAAAAAATTCATTTTTTCTAGTACTTGGGAACATGGCGTCCAAAACTGGGAAAAGTAGAAAAAGAGCACAAATTGATTATGGCGAGATATTTTACATCAGATCTTTCATGTTGATTTTAATTGTAGCCGGTCCCCAGAATATTTCGAAAGGGGGAAAAAGTCAAAAAACCCTATCACAGAGAAGAGTGCGATATAGCTTAAAACTCCAAAAAATGTATGGCATCAGTTTTAATTAATAGTTTAAAAAAATTAGAAAAAACTATGTACTGTCTAGTACTTAAACTTATCTAATATTTCTTTCTTTTTTTTTAGCTAGACACATGGAGGTATTTTTGTTTGAAACATTGTCAGGTACTAAACATGAGTATTTCTCTTAATAAAAATTTGAACCTTCATTTGCTAAGTTATTGGGATTAATTCTTTCTACTAAATCTAGCATTCCACTAGATTATTTCAGATTTTTTTTAAATTTTATAAAAGGAAAAACGGAAGTAAAACGTCGGCCGGGGAGGGTAGTTGTGCATATGGGCAAGTTAGGTAGGCCGTGGGCCGCGGGCATTAGTCCTGTTGCAGTTAGGAACCCCGGGGGTCCATTAGCGATGTCATGTTCGGAATCTACACCCACACAATGTATCAATTCTAATAAATTGTTTGTCCCAAAAATTCTTAATAAGCACAATTATATCAATTTCATTCTATATGATAAAACTTACGATAAATTTTATTATTTACAAACGTACCTGATTAATAGAATATAATATAAGTCTGTCAATGTTTAAGGATACTTAAAGGTTTGATTTGAGCTAAAGCAAATTATATTAACTGAACAACATTTTTTATCTATAGTATTTGACTATGACGTTAGTTTTATTCGAATCGGATTAATTTGGTCCACAATAAACTTTTTTTTAACAAATTCTGCATTTTTTTGGTAGACTTGATTCAAATTGACATACGCTTTTGGAAATAAAAGAATTTAAGAATATTGACTTCTTTAGATTAGAGAATGAAGAATTGTATTATATTGAAATTTCAATATATTTGATTCAAAATATGAAAAATTAAATTGATATAGTATTAATAAATAATTTTATGTGAAATAATACAAGAGCGAGGAGGAGAACGATTCTGGGTGTGATCCTCATGTTAAATAATTTTATTGAGTAATAATCACGTCTCGATTATAGAATTGCTTTTAATGAGATCACATCCACGTGGCCAAGAATTTTAATTCAAGTAGTGTCGACTTTGGAAACAACTACAAAGCACATTTGGAAAAAATCTTTTAAAAAAAGACAACTTAATGAGCAAGATCTTTTTTTTGTTTTTTGACCAAAGTCATAAGCAGGATCACAAGAAGTAAATTAGTTTGGGGGGGGGGGATGTTGAAAACGTGGAGATTAGAGTTCTGGTGTGCTCTAATAAATAGTTTTGACGTCATAGTTAACTAATAAAGTCGGCCATATTATTTCATGCGTACACACACGCACACAGTGAAATCGATCTGTTTCTCAGTACTTTGTGGTTTGGATTTGTTTGAACATGTGCGTTTGTGTGTGAGAGCATATATATATATATATATATATATATTCTTCTGATCTTAAATATAAAACTTTTTTTTATAGCGTAACTACAAAAAAAGTGTTATGTTTAAGACCGGAGGAGTGTGTATATATATATAGAGAGAGAATTATAGATAGTGCAGTGAGCGGCCTAAAAGCCAAAACAACAATATTTCGCATCGATCACTTAGCTTGGCCTGTCTCCCATTGTTGTAGCAGTACTGATCACGCATCGATCAGCATGACTGGGAGGACTCTGTGCTTCCCAAGTTTAGCTCCTTTTTCTTCCCTCCCTTCCAAGGTTCTTATCTCTTCTTCTTTCTTTATTACAACATCCATCTCTTTGAAACGATTATGCATATATTTTCCCGTTCACTATGATCTATCAAGTGCTCAACATTAATATCTTTCCCACCATTATTCACCCTTCGTTTCAACAACACCTATAGTAGTGGCATTGTCAACTTCATTTTCTTCTCTTTTCCTCCCACACAAATGCAATTAAAACCAGGTCCGAAGGACGGATCATCCTTCTTTAAAGGGCATATATAGACTCACGGCTAACTTAACTGGGGTTGATCTATTTAATGTTAATTTCAACCCACAGTTATTTCTTTCCTTCCCACGCCATGAAATTAAAACAGAGTCCAAACTCAATAGGACATATCATCTTTCTTGAAAGGGCATACATACATATAAATATACACACACATATATGATACACTTACGGCTTAAGTAACTGGGGTTGATCTACTTAATGTTAATTTCTAAACACAATTATTTCTTTTCTGTTCTGTTCCCTTCGAAACAATTGTATTGTGTATACAGCTCTTTCGTTCAGTCATCCCCATAATACAATACTCAGTGTTTTGTTCAGGGATCGAATGGGCTAGAATAGGCTTGTGTATGTCCTGGACACAACTCCTACCGGTCATACTATAAATTCAAAATAATGATTGATGCTGCATGAGTTTTTATTTGCCCTATTCAACAACTATTAAATAATTAATACCTTGTTCCCAGGGCAGTATCTGCAGTGACGGGATGTAGATGAGCTCCACAAGACTTACTTGAATCGTAAAATACCCTTTTCTGGGTTCAAAATTTATAAGATACTCTAGAACGATACCAAATATAGGGCACAAGCGCTTTTAGAATCGTCCGCTCTTAAATCGGGCGGGGTGGTGTGACTTGACCACCGAGTATTTATCATATTTTTCTCCTTTGCCTTTAGTCATTATCGTACATGCGTATTGTTCAATGGCGGACAATCTGGCTGATGCTTGGCAATTAATGGTGGTAGATGGGACGCAGCTACCGTAGCTTTGCGTCTCAAGTCTCCTCCCTGCAACCATTGGCCCATCCATCGTCACCTCACAGGTAACAATCAATCCCCTCATAATACCACTCTTTCGTAACCGACAACTTAGTCATATATCACTTTCTAGCTTCTTTCTAACTGTCACAACTTATCACCAGCATAGTTTGTTCTAATTTAATCTTATATATATCGGTATGAAAGTTGAATTATAAAATAAACATGCAAATCCAAAATAAAAACGTGCGTCTATAATTTGATCCCTCATCCCTCTTTTTATAAATTATTCTCTTGGTGGAATTGGCAGGGAGGATGGCGACGCAGAAGCGGAATGGGATGGCCTAGGATTTGGCCTGATGCCGACCGATTACATGTACGTGGCCAAGTGTAGCGGGGACCGCAACTTTGGACGAGGACAACTTCGTCTTTTCGGGAACTTTCAAGTGAGCCCCTCCGCCGGAGTTCTAAACTACGGCCAAGTGAGTAGACTGTGAAGGATAAATTCTCGGAGACAGATAATTTCGTGATTCAAATGAAAACCCCTTGTTTCCTCATACCCCACGGCTTTCTGAACAGGGAGTGTTTGAAGGGACGAAAGCACACAGAAAGGAAAATGGGCACCTACTTCTGTTTCGCCCGGAACAAAATGCCATGCGCATGCGGATGGGTGCAGACCGAATGTGCATGCCTGCACCTTCCGTGGATCAATTCGTGAATGCTCTCAAGCAAACTGCCTTGGCCAACAGGCGCTGGGTAGTTACTCTCTGCGCCTTCTGTCCTATTTCAGATACTAAATATAAATAGAAGAATTAGTTAACTAATTTAAATAAATTTTAAAAAATAAATTAAATTAGTTATTTACAGTAAATAAGTATTGTATTTTTTAAAATATCTTTATTAATAAAATGTTTTGACTAAAATTATTATTATTAAAAATATCACTATAAAAACCAATATATAAATATAAGTGAAAAAGAAATAAAATGGAACCTTATATTATTGATAAAAGACAGTATTTGATTTATTTACTATGAGTTCAACCGTGGACTTACGTGGAAGGCGAAAGCAGGTTCCTCCACCGGCCAAGGGATCGCTGTACCTGAGGCCTCTGCTCATAGGGACGGGTCCCGTATTGGGTTTGGCCCCGGCGCCCGAATATACATTCCTCATATATGCTTCTCCCGTGGGCACCTATTTCAAAGTCAGTTACTTGTTCTTGTTTTTTTATATAGAAGAAAACAATATCTAAAGACCATGTCAACACAAATAAAACACGTCCAAGTTGCTGCAGGAGGGTACGGCACCGCTTAACTTGTACGTGGAGGAGGACACGGATCGTGCTTCTCGTCGCGGGACCGGAAGCGTCAAAACCATTTCAAATTATGCTCCCGTAATTACAATCTCTCAAAAGTTGTTTTCCCTTTTTTTAGCGAGACCCGTAGAACTTCGTGCATAAAGTGTTGTTTGTGCTGAAATGTAGGTTCTGATGGCACAAATGAGAGCAAAAAACAGGGGATTCTCGGATGTGCTGTACCTGGACTCGCAGACCAAGAAAAATCTAGAGGAGGTGTCGTCTTGTAACATTTTTATTGCAAAGGTATTTGCCTCTGAATTCTAGATATGCCTGCACCACTGCACATTTTTTATCCTACGAGCATTGTCGCAAGTAGCCCGTCTTATTTGGTTTTTCGAATTCGCAAAGGGCAAAAACATCTCAACACCAGCCACCAACGGAACCATTCTTGCGGGAATCACCAGAAAAAGTGTCATTGAAATTGCTCGTGATCTTGGCTATCAGGTTCCACTTCTTTTGCGCTCATATTTGACAAGAAACTTGGTCTTCATTCCGCATTTCTTCTGGTTTCTTGTGTTTGATTGGAAGCAGGGTCTTCAGCAAACTTTTTTGTGATGGAATTATAATGATGAATCCTGCAAATGTGATGATCAGGTGGAGGAGCGTGCCGTGGGAGTGGATGAATTAGCGGAGGCTGATGAAGTTTTCTGCACTGGTACTGCTGTTGGCGTTGCCCCTGTAGGAACCATCACTTACAGAGATGCAAGGTAAAGCGGCGCCTCTCACTCATAATCGCTGACATAAAATCAACTAATCCCTTGGTAATTGCAAGCATGAGATGGTTCCTATTTTCTTCGTTACATGAGCTGAAAAGATATCTCCATAATTCATGTTGCCCCACCACCATACATATGACCATATCCCGGTATAAAAATTAATCTTGCCACCAAAATTTTAAAAAACAAAAACAAAACAGGAAACTAAAAGACTGAAATGTGGAGTTGTGTGTACAGGATGGAATACAGAACAGGGAGGGGAACGATCTGTCAAGAGCTGAGCTCCACACTCACGGGTATTCAGACTGGTAAGATTGAAGATGGTAGAGGGTGGATCCATGAGATTTTCTAAACTCTGTGTTTTGCTTGTGAACCGGTGTCGGCAAAAATTTGTAAATCAACGTCATGTTTCCTGTACCATGTCATGATAAACAAAAAACCTATATAGAACAGCTTATAAGTAGTTTTTCAATCGTAATTTATATAATACGAAACAAGTATGTGAGATTGTACGGGTGAAAATAAACTAGGTTAGGTCAGGCTTTAGTTAAATAGCCTGGGCCTGCATTAGAGATCTAAAGCTTGGACCTGAGTCTGAGCCTGCATGTAGGCTTCTTTCTAAACTCGAGCCTGAGCCTTTAAAAGGCCTGATAAGGCCTAAAAGCCTTTTTAAAAGCCCACTTAAAATTTAGGTATTTAAATAGACTTAGAAGCACATGCCTCCAAATTCATGTATAACTCTTCAAATCTATTTTAAAGCTTACATTATGTCTTAAAAGCTTAGGATCTATTCTCACATACAATATGAGATAATAAGAGTCTAGTAAGGAAAAAGAATGCTTAGTGACAACAATTGTTCCAGCAAATATGAATAAGAAAAATTAATTACATGTTGACTAAGGAGGTATATTTTCTAAAATCAACTAAACCCAACAAGTGGCATGTAATTAAAACTAGATTTTACCTCTTGCTTTTCTAGCAGTATTATAATATTTCATTTGGGCATCACTAAAACAAACTTACTATAATTATTATGCTTTAGTGAACAACGTAAGTCAGGGGATAGAGAGTGAGCTAACGCAGTCATCTTGAGCGATCAAAGAAAAGAAATGTTGAGGTGAAAGATTGATTGATGAAAGAGTTGCGTTTCTGTATGAATGATGGGATGTGAGACTTAGGATTATGGCTAAGTTAGTAATTTTATAAATAATTTATAAAATTAATCTAGATTATATTATATAATAGTGTAAATTAAAAAAAAAAAAAACTAAATAGGCCAAGCCCGTAGACTTGTAGGCTAGGCTTTATAAAAATAGGCCTGGCCTTTTTACCTAAATAGGCCTTGCAATAGGTCTAAGCCTGAGCCTGGCCTATTTACTAAATAGGCTAGGTTAGGCTTAAAGTAGACTAAACCGTAAGCCTTTAATAGGGGCCTAGCCTACTTCTACCCCCATGTAAGAGGAGTTTCGTCTCGGCTTACATAAAACGTGTTTATGAGTGATTTTCACCATTACCTCAAATAGGTGCAAACTTGTTTAGTCATGATGCCTGATTATTGTTATGGGTAGTAGAAATTTGAATGAAAAATAATAAGACTTAATTGTATTCAGTATCCTCAAATATTTTTCTAATAACATCAACCATCTTGAAATAATTTTTTAATACATTAGACACTTCAAAATATTTTTTTTATTACACTTTAGCCCAAAATAATAGAGCTATGAAGTACTAAACCCTTTTTCTTTTTGAGATTTGTGCTGACACAATTGATTATGAGCTTGTTTGGAATAATTTATAAGTAACTTTTTAGTTGTGATTTATAAAATACGAGATAAGTACTTTTGATAAGTACTTTTTAATCATGATTTACAGAATACAAGATAAGTATGTGAGAGTTTTATTTCAACTAATATGAAACGTGTTTATAAGTATTTTTTTAATATTATCCCAAATAGGCCCTACAAGTGCTTCTCCGGCAGGAGCGTTGACCAGAATTTTGGGCCTGGTCAACCTACTCTTTTCGCCCACATTCATATCAGCCCATTCTTTACCCACACACACCCGGGCCCCTTTGCAGCGACGGCCTAGTACTATGTCTTGACAGGCAACACTTTTACCCCAAAAAAGGAACACCTTCTAAATTGTAATTTACGTGGTGGTATTCCAATACTGCTGTGCGCTAGCTTAAACTCAAATAGACGACTAAATAGGGCTGAGTAATGGGCGGGCTGGGCTAACCCGAAGGTTAGCCCATAGCCCGCCCATTTATTCATAAATGGGCATGGGCTAACCCATAACCCGGTAGTAGCCCATTTAGCCCATATTAAATGGGTTACGGGGCAGCCCGTTTGGGCTGACCGGGTTATGGGGTAACCCATTTATTTTTTTAAATTTTTTCAGTATAATTATTTTATATATGTAACCTTATGAAGCTGTCAATAAATTTTACATGCCAAATAGCAAATCAAATATGAAATAACATTAACCATATTCAATCACACAACCTCACTTAGATTCGCAAACAATTAAAGTCTGATAAAATCATAAAAATAGTCACCAATCATAAAGTCTCATAAACTTTGAAAGTTTCAACTTTTACCTAAAGGATAAAATAAAAACTTAGACAAGTATGAAGGTTTGATAAAATATGAATAAGAAACAATATCATCGATTAAATGAAAAATAAAAATATTTTAAAAAACTTAAAACTTAAATGGGCGGGTATGGGCAGCCCAATACCTTGCCCATAGCCCAACCCGTTTAATGGGCTACCCCGCCCATTTAAGCCCGCCCGTTTATAATCTCTTATTTGGGCTAATTGGGCGGGCTTAAATGGGCAAAAAATTCATGGGTTATGGGCGGGCTAGCGGGTAATGGGTTTGTTGCTCACCCCTACGACTAAAGAGACGAACGCTGCGGAACCTATATGACCATGTGCTAGATTAGTCAGCGATACTAGCTATAGTGAACCAGTAGATCAAATAAATAAAAACAACTAGGTGCACTTTTGATTTGATGAATGGTTTTTTTCAATCAATTCTTAATTAATATGAAATAAACAGTGTATGTCTGCTAATTAATCATAAAAATATACAGGGCATTAAATAAGAAGTTAACGTAAGAACCAGGTATATTCATTCCGTGCGTATATAGCACAAATTCATGCATGTCGTGTTCCCCATCTGAGCCATTCGTTACGTTCCATTTGAATATGAGCCGTCTATGGTCAGATTCTATGCACCAAGATCCCATCATGACTCAGACTTTCACAGGGAAAAAAGATCAGTAGATCACAATCATATGCATAAACGAGCTAATTAGATAGAAACTTCATAATAGTTAGGGAGAATTATAATAGGGTACTAAAAAAGAAAAATAATTACAAAACAAATCTTCAAAATTATTATTTTCTACTCTAAAATTTGTCATTACAAGTTATTAAGGTTGTTGTTGAGATTTTTTAATAATTATATTTCTTTTTTGACACTTAATTGTGATGGTCCCTGATAGCCACGGAAAGTAAATGGGACCCACTATTAGCCCCCATAGTCATAGGCTCGTAGCTACTCCAAAGGCCACGAAAGGCGAGTAATTGGTGTAATCCCAAGCTTTCATGACTATTGGATCCATCCATCAATATTTAACTGATGCCCTCAAGTTTTTTGTACATTTTATAATCTCCAGTGTCCTATTCTATCGCTAAGGATTCCTACCATGCAGTCACTCTCACGATGACAAGCAAGTTTTACCGAAAAGCAGTGGTTTTCCCCTTTGGCTGTGGATTTTGCATAACCCAGTCATATAAAAAAGCATTCCAGATCTGCGTTTTTTAATTTATATCTCACATAGAGAAAGTCGCAATGACAAACTGTCATCCAACATAAACATAACTCCAGGCTAGCTCTTTTCTTTCATGTCTGTTCTTTTTTATCAGTTGTTATGGACGAAGAACACTTTTTGGGTCAGGGTAAAAGATAATAAAACCCAGAGATGAAGTTGGATTCAGCTGTACTCAGAGATGAGATCATCAACAATGATTGATTTTCCAAATACGCAGGTCAAATCATGCTTGGAAATTATATGCGTGTAATATACTGCGCTGCCCTACTAGCAAGACCTTCATCTGTCCTTCCCTTTATTATTTTATCTCGAATTTGGGGAATTGGGTTATACAGTTTGCTTGCCTCTATCCTCGGCTAAGCTCTTTTTTGGGAATTCTCGATGTCTTTTCACTCAATCGTTTTTTCCCTCCTTTTCGATACAAATCTTTTGAGATTGCATTTCTGTTACTTGTCTGAGAATATGGTTATTAATTAGTGGTCGAGAAGCAGGCACAAGCACAACACTCAGATCACTGAACCAAGTTAAACATAAACTGGCCAACCCAGAAAGAAGAAACAAGGTAAATAGGGCTTGTTCTCCGTGTAGTGGGATTCCAGCTAGGCCTGATTTGAATAATAGGTTGATGGTAATAGTTAACAGTCGCCTCATTGACTTTAAACATATCGTCAATTTTGTGACAGATTTCATATGACACAGCGGTAAATTAACATTACTATTTAGAGAACGGAAAATCTGCTACTAGTTAGTTGTCAAACTAAAATTATTGTTATTATGACTTGGGCTACGACAGGCACAAGCATATGATCCTCAAAACAAGAATTAATTAGCATTGCTCTCTAAAATTTCACAAGGCAAGGTTGTATACGGGGAAAAAAGGTGAGATCAGTCTGACAGCAGGTGAACTAAGCGAAAGCATCCTCAATTCATTATTTTTTGGGTTCGTGGTGAGAATGGAAAACTTTTTAACCCATGATGTTGAACTCATCATGAAGACTTTTGAGTTTGAATTACAAATTAAGTACGTAATCTGAGTGAAGATTCAATATGTACACGAGAAGTCAGTAAAGTGAAAAAGCTGGGGTATCGTAGGGTTCGTTGTGTTGTTATATACTTAGCATATTATAAAAAATAACATTGGCTACGCTAGCTGGTGCTCTAGATCAGGTCTGTGAAGCACTAAGGAGGGGCCAAAAGGCCTTCTTAAGGTCAAACTAGATGACGACGCTGATGCAACACTATCGTGTCCAATTCTAACGTATGGTAACGAAATTTCCCCTTTTCTGGCACACCATCTAGTGACTTTTTGATTCAACCTGTCTTTGACTTGGAAACTCTCCTTTATGAAGCAGATGTGAAATTTGATTACTCATTGTTCTGCTTTTACCTAGAGTATTAGCACTGGCTCACTAGTAATTATTAATACTACATCATCAGATCCTTAATATTAGAATTAGTTTGATATTTAATTTGATCCTAAATATAAGATTCCAAATTACTTTATCTTTTATATTTATCCATTTTTTTA